AATAAATTTTTTTCAAATTACTATCTTGTACGAAATTTCCTGGCGCATCTTTTTTCTCATCATAAATTTTTTGTTTTTGTATACAATTTTTGAATCAATATACAAGTTTAAAAAAAATTTCGTTGATAAACTTTGTGTACTTCAGCTTTGTGAATTGAATTTTCGAATTTGGAATTTTAAAGAAACTTATTCCGAAATTTGGAAACACAATTATACAACTTTGGCAAAAATGAGAAAAAGAATTGTCAAAATTTGAATTACTATTCAAAAAAACACGTGAAATCAGAAAAGACCAACTTCAAGTTAGGACAGAAGGACAGACCAAGCATTTTATTATTATAATATATATTATTATCATTATTAATAATAATACTTAAAAACAAGTGAAGAATAATAATTGTTTTTTTAACTATAATTTCTAGTATTGTAATAATCAATTATAAAATTTATTTATTAATAATACGTACTATTTTCTCAGTTATAATATATATTTATAAAGTAAATTAATAAAAAATTAAAATTTTTATTTTTGCAAAGTAGAAGTGAATTAAATTTCAGAAATATTTTCGTTATATAAAAATTAATCAAAAAAAAGTGAAAAATTAAAACTGATTTTTTTTTTTTTTTTAATTCTCCGTAAATAATAAATATTTTTCATAAAACATGTACCAATTATTGTAACAAAATAATTTTATCTTCTATTTTGCATGAAAAATTAAAAGAGCCGAGTGAAAAAAAAATAAAATTAAAAAGTGGATTATTTTTTTTTTTTTATAATTTTTGCACTCCATATATGAAAAATAAATAAATATTTTACCCAGAAGACGACATTTTATTTAAAAGACTCGCGCAGTAATATTCTGCCATTCTTGGTTATTCAAAAAAAAAAAAAATATATATATATACGTATGTACACATATATTGATTTTTAATTTCAATTTCCTGTCACGTTATAATATTTTCTGTAGATAAAATTTTGTTTAATTTGCAAAAAAAATAAAAATTTTCCCTTATGGTTGACATTGTATGTCCTTCTCAAGTCACTTTTTTCCTTTTTTTTTCCTTTCTATTCACTATATATATATATATATATATATATATATACATATATACAGTCACCCCGAGAGGGAAGTTAGTCGATATTAGAAAGATTCAACTATATACTCACGTTCATGGCAAGGAATCAGCTTTTCAATCCTTGAATAAATGAAAATAAATGTCTTTTAACATTGTCACTTGTAATTTACACTTTTAATTGGAAATTTTTTTTTATTTTCCAACACAAACCCGAAACGATAAAACAAGGGAACAACATCGTCACCGAAAAAAAATTGGATTTTAGAAGAGCGATTCTGAGTCAGTCACAAGGTGCCCCTCCCAGAAATGCAACAACCCTCATTTCTTCTTTAGCGCGCATGCTTCAACCACAACATTTTCTCGATATTCCAAAAGGGATGATCGACTCGCAAAATACTTTTGGGATTTCCCCTCGATTCATAAAAAAAAAAAAAAAAAAATGTCTCGATTTTGGTCCTGTGAGTCCCCTGTTTAAAATTTATAATTATTTGTATTTATTTTTGAGACTCACGAATTTCCCATAAAAATCAAATGGTATGAATTTTCATTTAAAAAAAAAATTTTATCATACAATTATTTTTTTTAGACGAATTTTCAATTTTTCGAATTAACATTCGAGAGAATTTCTTTTAAAACAAATTTTTACTTAACAATTTTTTTTTTTTGGTACTGAATTTTTATTTTACATAATTTTTTTTTTAACCAACATTTTATTAAAAAGAATTTTAAGAGATTGTAATTTTTAAATGTAGAATTTTCATTCTAGTTTTAAAAATAACCAATCGGAAATTATTAAGAAAATTGTGATTGGTTAATTTTAAAATTCGCGCTCAAATCTTTCTATATCGATTGTTTGTCGGACATTTGCAATTTCGGACAAATGGAAATTCGGCGATTTAAGAATTCTATGAAATAACAATTTGTGTAAATAAAAAATTCAAACAAATGTAAATTTGGTGAATTGAAAAATTCGAATCACTTAACATTTTTTTTTTTTTTTAATGAAAATTTTGCTAAATTTATATTTGTTTAAATAAGAATTTTTCAAATGAAAAGTTTGGTAAAAAAAAATTATGTACAATAAAAATTCCGTCAAATAAAAATTACCTCACAATTTTTTTGTTAAGCAAAAACTCGTTTAAAAAGAAAATTTTGTCAAATGTAGTTAATTCAAAAAAATGAAAAATCATCTAAGAAATAATTGTATGTAATAAAATTATTTAAAATGAAAATTCTAACTAATGATTTTTATGGGAAATTCATGCGATTCAATTATGTAAAAAGAAATATATTTTTCACTCAAAAAATAATAAATAATTTTTATTGTCTATATAAATGTTTTTCTTTTTAGACATTTTTGATCAAAAAACGGTACAAACAATTTTTTAGATTAAAAATAATAATAATAATTTGTATAGAAAAATATTTTTTATTAATTGTGTAAAATTCACTGAATTTTTTTTTTTGCAAACAATTTCCAAAATGAAAGAAAATATTATAATAATTGTTATTTAATAATAATTAATTTTTTTTTTTATTAATAATATGTTTCGAAAATCGTGAGAATTGTTAATTTAGTTCTCAAAAAATTGTCTATTTATAAATATTATATTATATACATATAAATTTATATTTTGGAAACTTTTTTTATTCAATAAATTCTGTGCAGTTTAGTTTTTTTTTTTAAAAAAAATTCAAATAATTTTTGTTAATAATTTTGAATGTCATTAATTTTCAAAGATTTTTCTCAAAATTTATAATATCGAGATAAGAAAAATTTTATTTTCTTTTTTTTTATTAAAAAATTTCAATTATTTTATAAAAAATAATTTAAAAAAAAAAGAAAATAGAGAAAAAGGAGATTGAAAATTATTTCTAAAGAAAGTATCCCATTTTTTAAAAAGAAAATTTAGATCATCTCTTTAATTTCTTTTTCTTGTATCCCTATTTACAAATTAATTAAATTTATTTTTATTATTATATTAATAATTTTTTACGATAATAATAATAATAATAATAATAATTATTATTATTATTATTATTATTCAGTACTTATTAAGTACTTTGTACGAAAGGGTTACTGTTTAAAGTAAATGAGAGAAAGGAAATAAAAATTAAAAAAGAAAAAAAAAGAAAGACAAAAAAGGGCCAATAAAACATTTTTGATGGAAATTTTCTTTCTAATGATTTAGAACACAATTTTTTTAAAATGTAAGAATTTTTTTTTTTATTTTTAATTATCAAAATAAATTAAATTTATCAATTTACAAAAATTTCCTTTAAGTTTGTTTTCAGACAAACTAATTTACATTTTTTTGGTTTTGTTTTTTTTTTCAACTTCACGATGCTGAAGTCCACAAAGTTTATGATCAACAATTAGAAAACAAATTATTTTTTTTTGATGAAAAATTATAAAATTTCTTTAACTAAAAAATTTTTGTTTGATCTTATATAAAAAAGTGCAAGATTGTATTTTAATATTGTATAATAAAAAAATTAAACGATTGTATAAAGATCAATGTTGAAATAAAATTTCATTTATCATAATTTGTGTAAAACATTTTTCATTTGAAATCAAAAAATTATTTATTTATATATTTATTACATTTTACATATTAGGTTAAAAAAAAAAAAAATTTCGAAAAGTAATTTTTGAAAAGGAAAAAAAAATTTTTCCGACAAAAATTTAAAAATAAAATACAAATAAAACAAAAATTCACTTGTAAATTTTTTTTTCCAAATAAAATAAATTTTTTATTTTGAACATTTGATTTGCACAATGGAATTTTTACACTATTTTTTTTTGGAATTTTTTTTGACAATTATATTTTTTTAAATTCTACATATATATATATATATATATATATATATTGTTTACACAAGCCGATGATATAATTTAATTATTAAGTGTGTAATTTATCAAATTTTTTTTCACTTCTAATTTTTGTTTTTTGTGTTTACAGTGTTTTCTGAGAAATAAAGGAAAGAGAATAGGACTATCCGCGAGTAAAACTCATGTTTCAAGAAACTGACCAAAACTAAACGCAGGCATGTATGATTTTTCCACGAGATAATCCAGGGCGCATGCTTCGATTATTATATTCCTATATGTGTCCTGACGCGGTGAAAGGGACCTTATGATTAAATAAATCGATTTTTATTTTTTTATACCAATCGATAGTTTTTGAGTTGCTTTTTCATTTCCAACAATTAAAATTTGTCTCCTTCAAATACTTATTGTGTTATATAGCTTTAAACATAAGTACTTTTCCGCGTATTCTCGGGCGCCTCGTGGCTACTGCAAAACCACTACCACTGCTCACCACTACGACGCTACCCTCGTATATCGGTGAGCGTGTTTCCTTCGTGCATCTTCGGCTCTACCATTTCTTGTCTCTCCCCACTAGTTCTAAGCTCTGATGTATACATTGCGCTGGGCCCGGAAAATGGATTTATCTCATATTAAAGCCAGTAAAATTGCAATAAACAATTTATTAGATTTTCATTATTTTAATAATGTATAATAATAATAATAATTTATATTTTAAATTCAAGACATATAACTTATTTATACATCAAAAGTAATGTTATTTTTACTGTTGTAAGAAAAGTAAAAATTGAAAATTTCTCTGTTGATAAAATAAATAATAAAAATTAATTTTATTTGATAACAACGATTTTCAGAGAATTAATAAATAATTATTAAAAAAATGTTTAAACATTGTCAAAAAGGGGTTTCGTAAATTTCTTCTCATCTTTAAAGGATAAAGTATTTCGAGTTGGCATTTGGAGGAATAATAGAGGAAGGGTTTTATTTTTATTTTATTTATTTTATTAAAGATTTAAAGTGGAGTAATTTGGGGTAGGTTAGTTCAGCAGCGGCCACTAGCTAGAATTGGCGCCACCTTCTGGGCCACTCACACATAGATTCAATGTCTGTCCCCACTTCTGTCAAAAATCCAACTTTTATAACCACAAAATTACTTTTAAAAATGGAGATGCTTCTTAATAAGCTCGCCCTCATCTAATTAATCCGACAAATCCGAACAAGATATTTCAAGTTATTTACGTATTATTTTGTCAATCAAAATTAATCAATTAACTTTAATATAAACTGAATCCATTTGCCGGGCCCAGGGCAATGTTTACATCAGAGCTTAGAAAGAGTAGGGAGGTACAAGATATGGTAGAGCCGAAGATGCACGAAGGTAGCATGCTCACAGACATATGAGTGTAGCGTTGTAGTGGTGAGCAGTGGTGCTGATTTGCAGTTGTACGTCCCCACTACTCAAATGTCTATTTTCGTGCTACACTTCGAGCGCCTCTCCTGTAAAATTTGCTTTGGAACCGTAAGGTCCCTTTCACCGCGTCAGGACACATATATTCTATCTTGAATTTTGCGGCGAGAGTGAGAAAAAAAAGGAAATCTTTTCGCATATAGTAGAATTTTTGGTTAAGGGATTATTATATATAAGAGAAAAACGAAAATTTAAATATTTAGAGGGAAAGATTAGAAGAAGAAAGACAGTATATGGCGTTTTTAAAAGCTAAGAATTTTTAAGAGAGAGGGGAATATACATAGTTAGTTGAGGAACCATCTGGTGTATTGATTTTTCGGAAGAGCTTCTCAATGTCTTGACTCTTTAAGGGTTGTTCGCTTTCGCCTTCGCGCACACGAATGCAAGCCAAAAAGGTCATTTGACTTGGAACGAAGAAATTTCGCAATCACTCTGAACACGCGAATATCTCCCTCGAATGTTCAGCTTTAAAATCCTTGGCTATATAAGACGAAACGATAGTTTGGAAAATATTTTCTTGAGTGGAGTTGAACTGGAGTTTATACGCAAGGATTTTCACTATATGACTCATTTTTTGTTTTTTTTTTTTTCCTTTATCTCTTGAAGTGGAAATTTGCCGAAGAAAAAAATTTGTTTTTTGCCAATTGGACAATTTTTAAAAAATTTTCAATTCTTTAAAATTTCTTTTTAAAATTATCTTAGTTTTCATTTTGGAGAAAAAAATTTCCATTTTTAATTTTTAAATTCAATTAATATTCTATTTCGTAATTTACGAGCAAATGCCCTTTCAATGATATAAAAAAAAATTATATAGACATTTTTTTTATCATTGAAAGGTGTATCTTAAAATTTATTTATTCTTTTACATTTACAAAATAGGTAAAAAAATTCATTTCGTTTTCTAAATTTTTTTTTTTTTTTTTTTTTCTCCCTCAAATATTTAATCCAGGTTTTGGAAATTTCTTAAATTCTCTGAATATTTCATTCAAATTTCTTTGACTTTTTATTTTCTTTCATTTTACTCACAAAAAAAGTTTTGTATTTTTTTTCTGTTTCACGATTTTTTTTTAAAAGGCAATGCCTACTTTAGAAGGTCAAAAAATGTGTAAATTTCAGGAATTTTTTTTCTCAAACACGTTAAAATATAAATAATAATAATTTTTATTTGAATTAAATAAATTGAATGGTGAATTTTGAACAGGGCTCAACTCGAAAAAGCATAAGTGTCATTTTCGCATAACAATTGATAGTGAAAATGACTCTTAGCCTTTTTCGAGTTGAGCCCTGTTCGAAATTCACCATTCAATTGTATTTCGAGCAATAATTTCTTTATTTGAAACAAATAAACTATTTAATTTGCACAAATAAAAATTATTTGATTCAAGTAAATATTTAATTGATAATAATCAAGTAACCGAATATTTAAATCAAATAAATTTTTTTTTCATTGCACAAATTCTTATCAAAAACAAAAAAAAATTTTTTTTCTTCCATCGTCTTCTGTATGAATTAAAAGATTTCGATAGAAAGTGAAAATTAAAATTTTTAACATGACTTTAAAAAACAAAATTTAATTTTTACCCCAACTGACCCTAATTAATATTTTATTATATAAAATCGTAAACACCAAGAATTTTTATTCTTTATTATAATATATTATTGCAAATTATTATTTTAAAAAATCAAAAAATAAATATAAAAATATTTTTAAAATCAAAGTTTTGAGAAAAAAAAGTATACGTAATTTTTTGTAGGTTTATAAAAATTTTCGGGTAAAAATTAAAAATTTTTTTTTTTTTCAAAAGTTTTTTTAATCACATATATAATATATATTTGCACCAAAATGAATTTTTGAAAAACATTTTTAAGAAAATAAAAGTTGTTTTTTTGATTTTTAACAAGTGTGTTGTCAAGAAGATTTGTTAAAATTTTTTATTTTAAAAAATATTAATTTTTTTATAAACAAATTTATTTATTTTTAGTTTGATCGTTTAAAAATTTTGTTTGATTTGAAAACAATAAGAAAATTTTGCAAAATGTTTTGGAATTGGTCTCAGGAAATTTTTTGTTTAAATAATTTTACCCATACAGAAAAGCAAAATAAAATACATTTTAATTTTGAGATATTTTCGGATTAAAATTTTTTTTCGTTTTACTTATTTTTGGAAAATTTTTTTTGCAGAAAATATATTTATCTATTTATTTATTTACGATAGTAAATATGAGACAAAATATTTGTCAATTTTATAAAAATTTCTTCAATTCCCTTGAAAAAGAAAAAAATGACAGTATCAAAATACCTTAAACTTGTGTTTTCCTCTTTCATTAAGATAGGGTTTCTCTCTCTCTCTCTCTCTCTCTCTCTCTCTCTCTCTCTCTCTCTCTCTCTCTCTCTCTCTCTCTCTCTCTCTCCTATCGATTTCCTGTCCATTTGTCCGAATAGCTCAAAGAATTAAATTACTTCTCGTGTAGTAGTTCAGAAAAACGAGGCTTGCTCAATAATAATTACTATTAAAAGTTTTTTTTTTTTTTCATAATCCAGTTGAAAAGTTATTTCTGACACGTAAAATAAGCGATAAAAAAATATTCTCTCTTTTATATTTTTCATTAATTCTTTGTAAAATTATTCAAAAATATTTTTAAAAAATAAATATAGTAATAATAAAACTAAAATATTCAAATTATTGATTACAGTATTAAAAGAAAAAAAATTTAGTTTTGAAAATATATTTTAATTTAGTTTTTTTTTTTTAGTTGAACTTGAGAATTATTCAAACACACAAAAATTCTTTCATAAATATTTAATTCAACAATAGGTAGACACTAGAAAATTTATTGTAAATCTATATTTGAAATTGAATTTTTTTTTTATTTTATCTCAACATTTTTAGTCGTAAAAGAATTGGAAATCCAATTAAAATTCAAATTTATTATTAAAAATTAAGAGGAGGGTGTACACTCAAATTTTCAACTAATTAAAAAATTATTTTCAAAATTCAACAAAATTATTTTTAAACTAATCTTTTGCAAGGATTTGAGAATCTTAGAAATTAAAAAAAAATAATTATAGTTTCGATTTCTAATAATTAATTTGTGCGTGTTATTATTATTATTATTACTTTTTACATACTTGTCAATTTTTAAAGCCTTTTCTCGTTGGGATCTCGTTTAAAAAAATCAGCAAATGAAAAATAATAAAAATTGCGACAGAAATTTTAGATCTTTAAAAATTTTGAGTTTTATTTAAAAAATTATTAATGAATTAATTGTCTTTTAATTTCCCATTAATGAATAATGTGAGAGGGTTGTCGTTCTTTTTTTTCAAAAATTTCAAAAACTTTTATTTATTTAAAATAATTTTACGATCACAATCAAAATAAAAAAGAAAGTGAGAATATTTCAAAAAGCGTTTAATTAAATTACATGAATTATTAAATAATTTCATTATTTATTGAGAAATTTGTTTAATAAGTAAAAAATTGCAATTGGAATTTTTTTTTTTTTTCAAATTATTTTTAGTTTCATTGTGATCGTGGAATTATTTATCTACAAATTTTGTTATATTTGACAAAAAAAAAAATTTCTCTTGTAATATTAATTGCTGTTAATGAAACTAATATATATAGTAATTTTCAAGGGGAAAAAAACTTTTTTTGTTTCTCTTTACTATATCAATAAGCAAAGATATAAAAATTGTGTAGGTAATGTAAGTTATTTAAATTACGATGACTTTATCGATATTGATGAAAAAATTGATGATTTTTATCTGTGACATTTAAACTTTTTTTTTTAATACAATAATTGAAATAAGTAATAAAAATCCAGTTTTTTTTTTTTTTTTTTGGTACCACTATAACAATAAATATATTGTTCTCACTTGAGGTACAGAATAAATAGTTTTATAAAAAATAGAAATCTTACAAAGATACGAGAACGCACAATCAAACTCGAAAAATATCCCATACACAGAATTCGCACTGTCAATTGTACATAGAAAAAAATATTTATATACGAAGACATTAAAATCTACTCACAAATACAACCTGAATCTGTTCTATTAGCTAAATTAACTATATATATTTACAAAATTGACGGCGCAAAAACCGCATCTCAAAAATTTTTCACTTACACATGTTTTTTTTTCTTTTTTTTTTTGCAAATTGTAGAATTTTACATAAAAATGATTATCAAAAACTATTTACCTTCTAATATATAAGCGATCTCAAAAAGTCTCTATAAATTTATATAAAAAATAGCTTTGTCATTTTTCTTTCATAATGGTTCGTAGTATTTTTTTTTTTTTTTTTTTTTTGAGGGGGGGCATTTGAGCATCTTAGAAATTAAATTGACAAAGCTATATAATAATTAATTTTTGGAATTATTATATAAAAACAAAAATTATAGTTTCGATTTCTAATAATTAATTTGTGCGTGTTATTATTATTATTACTTTTTACATATTTGTCAACTTCTAAAGTCTTCTCTCGTTTGGGAAATAAATTAAACTGATTTTGTATTGTCGTGTTTTTTTTTTTTTTTTGTTTTTTAAGTAAAGAAACTTTGTTGTCATTCAGACAATACTGCTTTCGTTATTGGGCACTTGTTTAATAAATAATGTGAGGGGTTGTCTTTTTTTTTCTAGATTTCGAAAAATTTTATTTTATTTAAAATAATTTTACGATCACAATCAAAATAAAAGTGAATCTGAATATTTCAAGAAGCGTTTAATTAAATTAGATTAATTATTTAATAATTTCATTATTTATTGAAACATTTGTTTAATAAGTAAAAAATTTCATTATTTATTGAGAAATTTGTTTAATAAGTAAAAAATTGCAATTTGGAATTTTTTTTTTTATTAGACATCAAATATAATTACTTATTAATTGATTTAATATTCATTTATTTTATTAATCTATTCTTTAATTTAATTGCTCATTTTTTTTTTAAATTTAATTATTAATTTGATTGATAATTAAATTTCAATTATTATGAAATATCAAAAGTAATGAACGTCTTTTTTCCGGTAATTTTTTTGTTTCATTGTGATCGTGGAATTATTTATCTACAAATTATTGTATAATTAAAATTAATTAAAGAATGAAAATCGAAATTAAATTAATTTTAATTCGAGGAAATTGAAGACTAATATTTTTAAACAAAAATAAGGGAATGTATATTGAACTCCTCACAAAAATGGACAAAGTGTTTAAAAAGTTTAATATTGCTTTTCAATTGTCCAAATAATTTTTTTCTTTTTTTTCTTTTTTTTTGGTGTATTGTAGTGAAAGCTTAAAACTTTATAGACAGGAAATGTCTTTAAAAAACGCTTTTCTTAAAAAATATATTTGGCTCTATTTCTCCAGAACTTAAGTTCCTTCAAAATTCTCGTTTCTATAAAATTTAAAAAAAAAAAAAAAAAAAACTGATAAAATACATCTTTACTGTTTGAACTCTACTTTTCAATTTTTCTTTCTAATTCATTTTTTTTCGTTTAAATATTATTATTATTAATGTATTATATTATTATAATAATAATTTAGTGGATTATTTATTTTTTATGAATTATATTTCATTTTTAAAAATGGAAGCAAAATGTTTTTCTTTGGCTATTAAAGAAACAAATTGTTTTCTTTATAGGAAAGTATAAAATAAAAAGAATATTAAAAAACATTTTTTTTTTTTTTAATTAAATGTTTCATATGAATTTTCTAATTTAATTAAAAATACGATAAAAATTTGTTATATAGAAGAATGTGAATTATAACTAAAAATATGCAATTATTTTAAAGAATAATTTTCCCTTTTTTATCAGATAAAAAAGAATTCATTTTCCTTTATGTTTTTTAATTTTTAAACCACAGAGAAATATAAAAAAAAAAATTCCACAAAAATAAATTTAAAAAAAATCATATTTTCAAAAAATTTACGAGTTTAACGATTTTCATTATTATCTCTATTATTATTATTATTATTATTATTAATTATTATCACTACCGATATTTTACTGCGTTTTATGTAACTTTCAATATTGATTATATCAATATATTATTTTAAAATTTTTTTTCTTTTTTCTTATATTATATAGAGTAAATATTTAAATATTTAAAATCAAATTTTTGATTAAAAATTGTTTTCTTTTCATTTCAGTATTAATAATATATAATTAAATAATATAAATGTACAAACAAAACAAAACGAAATACAAAAATTAAAATTATTAAATTACAATAACTTAATTGAAAACGAAAAAAAAAACGAAAAAGAGGAGCTAAAATAAAGATGTATTTTTTTGGAAGTTATTTTTGTTTTGAATGAATTTTTTTTTTTTTTTTACGTTAAACGTATCTTCGATTCTTTGGCGTTTTGGTGCATCTTCTTCTGCCAAAAATGGCAATAACACAAACTAATATCGTCGCCACAAGAACGGCACCCACTGCATAAACGGCTTTATTCGTTGGCTTTGGTTTGTTTTCATCTTTCTTTTCTGTTTCGAGAATTTCTAAATTATAAATTTTCGCTTTTGTAGCCTCTGTGGGTGAAATTTCAGATACTGTGGAAATTTTCAAAGAAGAAGCTTTCTTTCCTTTTTTTGTAATTGGTTTTTTAGTTGTCGTTGTTGTTGTTGTTGTTGTTGTAGTTGTCGTCGTCGTCGTTGTAGGAACAAGAGCTTTTTCACGATAAATTGCTTCTTGTTTTTCAAATTCACTTTGTTTATTCACAGGTATTGGAAAATTTGTATTATTCTGCTCCTTTAGATAATTGTCAAAAAATGAAAAATAAGACGTCAACGAATATGTTGAGACTTCGTCAATTTCATTTTCAGTTAATTTTATTAGTGAATCCAACCAATTTTCTCGACTAGAATTTACGGCAATTTTTCTGTAATTAAAATTGAAATTGAAAGAAAATACCGTTTGATAAAATAGAAAGTAAATTTTTATTTTTAAAAAAATATATTTTTATTGAAAAATTAATTTAAAAAAAATTATACTTCTTTAATTATCATTTTCTGATGCCCCAACGATTTTTATAATTGTTTAAAATAAATTTCAAAATTAAAGGATATTTTAATAAACGAAACTTACGCAAAAAGATGATTAGAAGTAATTGGAGTAAATTTTAATTCCAGTCCTGAATGGAATTGGTTGTACAATTGAAAAGCAAGAAGAGTACCAACAAATTTTCTGTAAATAATACATAAAATCCTTTTTTTATTTTCAAATTCTATTCTTAACAACAAATTATTTTATTTTTCATTTTAATTATAATTTTTTTTTTCTTTTTCACTTATAAAAGTCACTTACGAAAGATAAGGTTTATTGCTCGTGATAAATTCATCATTTAGAAACGATGGAATTTCCTTCAAGTCCGTTGTTACACTCTCGTATTCTAATCTGGTAAAAAAAATATATATATATAAAAGATTATTTCGAAAAGAAAAAAATTATAAATTTTTTTCTTTCATTTGAAAATAAAAAAATTCCAATATAAAATACCTGTGTTTCCACCATAATGAAACGATTTCCTTCGAGTCGGTGATATTTTTTTCCAAAATATTTAATCTCCAATAATCTACCGAGATGTAATATGCCAATCGTGGTAAAATATCTAACATTGATATTATTCTAATGTCTTCAGCTAAATTTTCATTTGTTTCCCATATTTCTTTATCCACCAATCCAGTTGTTTGCAACCAAATTGGACTCATTGACATTAGACCAAAATATTCAACGAAACTTTCTTCTAAAACTATAAATAAAATTATAAATTTGATTAATAATTTCCTACTTTAATTTCTTTCTTTATCTAATTGAGAAATAAAATTTATTAATAATTGAATTTTTTTACTAAGATCAGTCTATTGTATTTCATCTAAAATTTTTTGCGGCTTATTTTTTTTTAGAAAACTTTTATAATAATGATTTTTGATAATTATTTAATAAAATAAAAAATAAATATAAAATTTAAAATTTAAAGATGTGTTGCACACAAAAAAACAACAGTTAATTTAACAGCTGTAAAAATTTAATAAAAAAACACAGAAATAATATAGATGTCAATTTTTTCATTGATTTTTTTTTTTTTTTATTAAATTTTTACAACTGTTAAATTAACTGTTTTTGCGTGCAACTCATATTTAAAATTTAAAGTCCAAGGTAAATAAATATATAAAAATTTTTATTAAATGTCAAAAATAAATTGTACTGATATTTTTATATTTTCATTAATATTTTTTAATATTATATTTTTCTAAAATATAGTCCGCAAAATTAATTTAGATGAAATATAATGAATCGATTTTATAATGAAAATTATTTGAAAAAAATTAAATTTACACACATACCAGAAAATCGATTGGAAATTTCAAAAATTGGATTTGACGTTCTCGATGCTAATTGATTGAATAAAATTCTGCCGACATTTTTATGGGCAGTTATGTAATTCGATAGAGACGCTTCGTAACAAGTAAAAACTCTGTAAAAAAAATTGAAAAATGCATATTCCATTAAAATTTTGATATATTATATATTTAATTATTATTATTATTATCCCTGGTCGAATAAAATAAAACAGTAAAAAAATAATAGATAATTCAAAAATATTTTCAATATCAAAAATTTATCACCTCATTCTTCCTTCTCGGCAAAAGTTTATAATTCTTGTTGGGCATGTTTTGTTAAATTCACTGTTTTCCCAAAAACTTGCTTCTGGTGAAGTTTTTAACATTGACACACCCAATTGTGAAGCGACTTTATACAAATTTTCTCCTAATAAATTCTGAAATATTATTAAATTTTTTTTTTGGATATTAAAAAAATAATTAAATTTGTTAATTTAATAAAATATTTAATAATTTAAAAATGATTTATTTTAAATTTATTGCTTTAAAATAAAATTCACCTTTTGCCACATGTTTTCCTTTATTTTGAAAATACGATCGGTATGTGGAATGATGTCGGTCATGAGATTTGTCCAATCATTGCCTTGTAAAGAACCTTTTTAACAAATTTTTTTTATGAATATTTATTATTTAGATTTTTTTCTTTGTCAAAAATTTAAAAAAAAAGAATTTCTAACAAATTTTTGAATTGTCAAAAAAAAAAATGAAAAATAACTTGAGTACGTGGGTAAATAAAAAAATAGGTACCGAAATATTTATTGAATTAAAAAATATTATTTCACATATTATAAAATTGAAAGAAAAAAAATTATTAAAAAAAAACTATTTTCAAATGAACTCTTACCTAATAAATGTGCAGGGACGACTTTATTTAATGAAATTTTATATTTTGCAGATAAACGATCGGCAACTAAAGTTACGAGGGACTTGTGTAGACTGGAAATTTCATCCCAATAGGATTTTAAATCATCATAACCATCTGGATATGCGGATAACATCTCCCAGTAAGTTTTGGCATTTTGTTCTTCTGAAATTACAATTTTTATTAATTCAAATCATAAAATTCTGTTAAAAAAAATACGAAGAGTTGAGAGTTATACAAATTTTTCTACTATTTTCTACTTTAAATTTAAAAAAATACGACTTATTTCGAATTGTAGAGTGTAAAAATACAACAAAACGATTTTTTTTTTAAATTTAAGTAACATTTTTCTATTTAAAATTAGAATGAAGTAGAAAAAATTATTTCTCGTTTTGAATAATTTTTAAAAATTTAATTTTTTGAGTTAGATTTTTTGAAAAAATTTATATGAGTTCAAATTTTGAGAATTATTCTAATTTAAAAATTCTTTTGATTATTTTACTCTCAACAATAATTGATGTAAGAAAATTTTTTGTAAACCCTTTTAAAAACTAAAAATTTTTAAAATAATTTTAATTGTTTGATTAAATAATTTAATATAATTATATAATTACTTTATTCGATATAATTAAATATAATTTTAATTATTTAATTTAATTATTTGAATAGATATAAAAGTTTATTTTATAATCTAAATAATTTTTACACAAATTTTCAAGCTCAAATTTTTAGTAAACAGATATTTGAAAAGAAAAATTTGCAATTTTCTTCATCTTAAAAATTTTTCAAGTCTGATGTTTAGAAATTATTTTAAAATCAGGTAAACATTTTTTTTGTGCGATAAAATAAAAACAATTGTCAATGTTAAAAGTTATGAATAATATATATATATATATATATATATATATACATACATTAAATGTGCATGCAAATATTTAAAATAAACAATTATTGCTAAAGAAAATTATTTACAGACCATTAATTTGAGCTGCTTCGTTGACAAGAGGCAGAATTTTCGAAAAATTTGTTTGCAAAGGTGCCAAATGATTGTGCCAACTAGACCAGACATCTAATTTTTCTTTTGCTTCACCGCTGCGTGACAATAAATTCTCCGCAACTAAAATATCAATAAGAATTTTTTTTTCTTTTCGATAACAAACTTTATGAATAAATATAAAAAGTTTCTCTTGGCAATATTATAATTATTAAATTTTTTTTTATATAGGGACGTTCTTTGTCAACCGGACCACCCCATCTCTCCATAATTGGTTTAATTTAAAAAAATTTTATCATATTGGAAAAATTAGCTTGGAATATCTACTTTTTAATCCCGTTGGGCGCTTTTTGAAATTCAAAATGGCGACTTAAATATGGCGCCTAAACGACATAAAAAACACAAAAAATCCACTAATATGATCTATATTATTGTTTAAAGCTTCACATATGACGATAAAAATAACCACAACATAGTTTACTTACAAACTGATAACGTATCTCCATTCAAAATTCAAAAATTCAAAATGGCGGATTAAATATGGCGGATAAAATTAAAAATTGAGCTAGACTCGTGAAAATTACTACTTGGGGGTTTTCGAGGTCGCTGATTACGAATCCGGTGTTAGTTTTCAAAAATTCAAAATGGCGGATCCAATATGGCGGACAAAAATTGAAAAAATGGAGCTAATTTCGTAAAAATGTCTACATAGGGGGTTTTTTGGTCGCTGATTACAAATCCAATGTCAGTTTAAAAAAATTTTTAAATGGTTGATGACAAATCTCTATTTAAAATTCAAAATGGCGGATAGAATTAAAAAATTAAGCTAGTTTTGTGATTATTAATTAAATAATCCTCACGTAATTTCCATAAAAAGTTATCTGGCGTTGTATTTGATAAGTTCAAATGGCACCTTTTTACGTTCAATATAAAAAAGTTAGATCAATTTTTTATATTTTGGTCCACCATTTTATATTCACCATTTTGATTTTTTAAAAAGTAACGATGAATTCGTAAAGATTGTCCTGAAAAACCCTTAGGTAGACATTTTAACGAGTTTAGCTCAATTTCTTGGATTTTTGGTCAGCCATTTAGAATTTTTAAAAAGTAACCGCAGATTCGTAATCAGTGGCCCCGAAAACCCCCCAGTAAACAATTTTACGGGTTTAACTTAATTATTTAAATTTTGGGCTACTATTTTAAGTCTGCCATTTTGAATTTTTAAAATCTAATAACGGATTTGTAATCAGCGACCCCAAAAACCCCCGAGTAACAAGTTTCAGGCGAATCTAAACGATTTTTTAATTTTTGTCCATCATATTGGATCCGCCATTTTGAATTTTTGGAAACGAATACCGGATTCGTAATCAGCGACCCTAAAAACCCCCGTGTAACAAGTTTCAATCGAATCTACACGATTTTTCAATTTTTTGTCCGCCATATTGGATCCGCCATTTTGAATTTTTGAAAACTAACACCGGATTCGTCATCAGCGACCCCAAAAACCCCCGTGTAACAAGTTTCAATCGAATCTACACGATTTTTCAATTTTTCCGCCATATTGAATCTGCCATTTTGAATTTTTGAAAACTAACAACGGATTCGTAATCAGCGACCCCAAAAACCCCCGAGTAACAAGTTTCAGTCGAATCTAAACAATTTTTCAATTTTTGTCCGCCATATTGGATCCGCCATTTTGAATTTTTGAAAACTAACACCGGATTCGTAATCAGCGACCTCGAAAACCTCCAAGTAGTAATTTTCACGAGTCTAGCTCAATTTTTAATTTTATCCGCCATATTTAATCCGCCATTTTGAATTTTTGAATTTTGAATGGAGATACGTTATCAGTTTGTAAGTAAACTATGTTGTGGTTATTTTTATCGTCATATGTGAAGCTTTAAACAATAATATAGATCATATTAGTGGATTTTTTGTGTTTTTTATGTCGTTTAGGCGCCATATTTAAGTCGCCATTTTGAATTTCAAAAAGCGCCCAACGGGATTAAAAAGTAGACATTCCAAGCTAATTTTTCCAATATGATAAAATTTTTTTAAATTAAACCAATTATGGAGAGATGGGGTGGTCCGGTTGACAAAGAACGTCCCATAATATATATGTGTCCTGACGCGGTGAAAGGGACCTTACGGTTCCAAAGCAAATTTCACAGGAGAGGCGCTCGAAGTGTAGCACGAAAATAGACATTTGAGTAGTGGGGACGTACAACTGCAAATCAGCACCACTGCTCACCACTACAACGCTACACTCATATGTCTGTGAGCATGCTACCTTCGTGCATCTTCGGCTCTACCATATCTTGTACCTCCCTACTCTTTCTAAGCTCTGATGTAAACATTGCCCTGGGCCCGGCAAATGGATTCATTTTCTATTAAAGTTAATCGATTAATTTTGATTGACAAAATAATACGTAAATAACTTGAAATATCTTGTTCGGATTTGTAGGATTAATTAGATGAGGGCGAGCTGATTAAGAAGCATCTCCATTTTTAAAAGTAATTTTGTGGTTATAAAAGTTGGATTTTTGACAGTGGCCCAGAAGGTGGCGCCAATTCTAGCTAGTGGCCGCTGCTGAACTAACTTACCCCAAATTACTCCACTTTAAATCTTTAATAAAATAATTTCCTCACAATATTATTGCAAAAATAATATTCCTCTATTATTCCTCCAAATGCCAACTCGAAATACTTTATCCTTTAAAGATGAGAAGAAATTTACGAAACCCCTTTTTGACAATGTTTAAACATTTTTTTAATAATTATTTATTAATTCTCTGAAAATCGTTGTTATCAAATAAAATTAATTTTTATTATTTATTTTATCAACAGAGAAATTTTCAATTTTTACTTTTCTTACAGTAAAAATAACATTACTTTTGCTGTATAAATAAGTTATATGTCTTGAATTTATAATATAAATTATTATTATTATTATACATTATTAAAATAATGAAAATCTAATAAATTGTTTATTGCAATTTTACTGGCTTTAATATGAGATAAATCCATTTTCCGGGCCCAGCGCAATGTATACATCAGAGCTTAGAACTAGTGGGGAGAGACAAGAAATGGTAGAGCCGAAGATGCACGAAGGAAACACGCTCACCGATATACGAGGGTAGCGTCGTAGTGGTGAGCAGTGGTAGTGGTTTTGCAGTAGCCACGAGGCGCCCGAGAATACGCGGAAAAGTACTTATGTTTAAAGCTATATAACACAATAAGTATTTGAAGGAGACAAATTTTAATTGTTGGAAATGAAAAAGCAACTCAAAAACTATCGATTGGTATAAAAAAATAAAAATCGATTTATTTAATCATAAGGTCCCTTTCACCGCGTCAGGACACATATATTTTCTAAATTTTGAAAATTTCTTAATACTAAATTTTTTTGAATTGAATTCTCTTTTTATTAATTGTAAAATTTAATAAATACCTTCTCGTGATAATTTGCCTGAATTCGCTAATTTGTGTCTCATTAATTCTGCAATTCCAGCAAAATGATTGAGCTGAAAAGAAAGTCCTTTATTTTAATTATCATTAAATTGCTAAAAAAAAAAAAAAAATTACAAATTAATGTATATACTCAATACTCACATTTCTCCAATTTTCTTGGTTTATTAAGGCATCGCCTGGTTTCTGTAGTAATTTTATTTGCTCATCAAAATTATGTTTTTTTTCATGAAATAATTCTGTCGTTACATTTCTCTCGTGTTCTTTTACGTAATTATTTTCAAATTGAGCATCTTCCTACAATTTTTTTTTATTTAATTATTTTAATTACATATATACACAATATACAATATTATGGTATATTTCGGTAGCTAGATTCGCTATAATTTTCAATTCATCGAAACTTTATTTTTCTGAATTTTTTTTCTTGCACGAATTGTTATTTTATAAAATTATTAAAACGCCGAATTTCTATTTGTACGAAATTTGCAAATAGCTAAACAAATAATCGACAGAAATATTTTGATGATTTTAAAATAATTTAAATTTAAATAATTGAATTTCAGAAGAATTTAAATTGAAATAAATTTTTGCAAATTTAAATTGCTGTAGTTTTTTTTTTTTTAATATCAGACAACAATTAAAATTTTGAAAGTTTATATATTGAATTTTGGAAGAGTTATAATTGAAATTTTTAGAAATAATTAAATTTCAGAAAGTTTTATATTGGAAATTTTAGAAGTAATTAAATTTTCGATGGTTTTATATTAAAAGTTTTAGAAATAATTAAATTTCAATAAATTTCTAATTGAAATTTTTGAAAATTTTAATTGCTTTTTAATTTTTGTGAATAATTAAATTTTTGCAGTATTTTTAATTTAAAAATATTTTAAATAATTGATTTTTTTTAAAGAACTTGATGGAAATTATTGGTTAAAATTATAATTAATTATTAAATTATTAAGTTTAATTTTTTGGAAATAATAGAATTTCATGTGATTTTGAATTGAAATTTTTGATAATTTTATTTGGTGAATTTTTTTTTTTTTTTAGAAATTTCAAACAATATTATTAAATTTTTTAAAAATATTGAAAATAATGAATTGAATAATATAATCAGATAATTAAATTTTTGAAGATTTTTATTTAAATTATTAAAAATAATTAATTTAGCGTAGAATTTTAATTAATAATTTCTCAAGTAATTATAAATTTGAGAAAGAATTGTTTTGTATACTAAAAAAAAAATTGTATTTTATTTCAAAATTTAGTTAAAAATTTTTAAAAAATCGAAAAATTTGCATCCTATTAAAATTAGTAGAAAAAAAGTCGAATTTTTGAAAAAAAAAAAAATTGTAAAAAATCGTACATTCCGAGAAAAATTTTTTTTTTAATGTAAAATTTTTTTTAAAAAAACAGTAAATGTATATTGTAAATAATTGACGAATCACTTACAACAACCTATGTCAATGATTTTGAAAATTCGAAAAAAAATGTTTTTGCAAATTTTTATTTATTTTAACTATTTATTGTTCTTTTTAATTTTTTTTTTTTTTTTTTTGACGTGGTAATTTAAAAAAAAAAAATTTTTTTTTTGACTTGTCAGCTGATGATGGTAGCGAATCTAGTTACCGAAACGTTGTCTTAAATAAAAGTGGTTTTACTTTTATCTACTTATCTTCGAAAATCGAAAAAATAATTTTACACCAAAAATAAATTCATTTTAAAAATATTGAAAAAATTTACCCAAATGTGAAGTGTGTGATTTGTAGGATTTTTAAGAAATTCCCATGTAGAATTGGCAATTAGAAGACAAGCATCTTCATATTCTAAAGTACTCCAATCAATTGTTGATTGCAAATCGTTTTTTTCCATAAATGAGACGTGAAAAAGAAATCCAAAGATTACGAGAGTCCATTTTGACACCATACCTAAAATCTGTAACACAACATAATTTGTTTATTAGATTATTAGACAAAATAAATTTTTTTTTTTTTTTTTTTTTTTTGCAGTGAATACGATTTTTTTTTGTCAATTTTCATTTGTATATCTTTTTTATTTAATTTTTTTTTTTATAATTAACTTAAAGTAACGAGTTTATTGAGAGAAAAAAAATTCTTCTGGTTTGATCAATAAATATATTCGAATTATCATTTAATTAAGAACAATTGTTTGCAATTGAACGAAATTAAAAGAACTTTCTCACCGGCTTTACACTTGCAGATATATTAACAATATATATGTATATATCGTCTTGGCTGCTTTTAAGTCAATCAAGAATCATTGTCGAATCTAAAATGGTTAAATTATTGTTCATTGGGTTAATGTCAGGTTGAAAAAAATGGGAAACAAGGTCATTGATACATATTATAAATTTATTTACAAACATTTAAATAACAATTGTTTTTCTAAATAACAGGCCTCGGATCGACTTAAAGGCACAAAAAAAGTCGTTTTAATCGATTTATATTCCAAAAAAAGTCGAAAAAGTCGATTATTTTTTTTATTTTAACAAAAATATTTTACAGATTTTTAAATAAAATATTTTTTTAAATAATAATACTTTTGGTTTAGAAATAATTGAATTTCAAAAGATTTTGTTAATTTTCAGACAATAATTAAATTTTACAGAATTAAAAATGATTTATCAAATAATTTCAGATAACATATTTTAAATGTAATTGAATTTTCAAAGATTTACAATTGAGATTTTTGAAATTATTTTTGAACTACAAGTGATTTTTAATTTAAAATTTTTCATGATTTCTGTTACTAAAAAATTTATTAGAAATTGCGGTTAAAAATAATTGAATTTCCTTAGAGTTATAATTGAAATTATTAAATTGCAAAAAATTTTCGATGGAAAATTTTAGAAATAATTAAATTTTAGAAGCTTTTAAATTCAAATTTTTAAAAAAATAATTGAATTTTAATTGAAATTTTGGATAATAATTCAATTTTAGTTGTTTTTGATTGAAAATTTTGACTTGAAATTTTTGAGAATAATTTAATTTTAATTGATTTTGAATTGTAATTTTGGAAAATAATTGAATTTTAATTTAAATTTTAGAAATAATTTAATTTTAGTTGATTTTTGATTGAAAATTTTGATAATAATTAATTTTGAATTGAAATTTTGGATAATAATTAAATTTTAGTTGATTTTTGATTAAAAATTTTGATAATAATTAATTTGACTTAAAATTTTTGAGAATAATTTTATTTTAGTTGATTTTGAATTGAAAATTTTGAAAATAATTAAATTATCTTTGATTTTTAATTGAAATTTTAGAAAATAATTGAATTTAAATTTAAATTTTAATAATAATTAATATTGAATAAAAATTTTTGAAAGTATAATTGAATTTTCTTTGACTTTGAATTGAAATTTTGGAAAATAATTAAATTTTAATTAAAATTTTGGATAATAATTTAATTTTAGTTGATTTTTGATTGAAAATTTTGATAATAATTAATTTTGAATTGAAATTTTGGATAATAATTAAATTTTAGTTGATTTTTGATTAAAAATTTTGATAATAATTAATTTGACTTAAAATTTTTGAGAATAATTTAATTTTAGTTGATTTTGAATTGAAAATTTTGAAAATAATTAAATTATCTTTGATTTTTAATTGAAATTTTAGAAAATAATTGAATTTAAATTTAAATTTTGATAATAATTAATTTTGAATAAAAATTTTTGAAAGTATAATTGAATTTTCTTTGACTTTGAATTGAAATTTTGGAAAATAATTAAATTTTAATTAAAATTTTGGATAATAATTAAATTTTAGTTGATTTTTGATTGAAAATTTTGATAATAATTAATTTGACTTGAAATTTTTGAGAATAATTTAATTTTAATTGATTTTGAATTGAAATTTTTGAAAATAATTGAATTTTATTTGATTTTGAATTTATTTATGATTTTGAATTAAAAATTTTTGGTAATTTTATTTGATATTTTTTTTAAATTATAAACAATTGTTAAGTATTATAAAAATTTTAATTGAAAAATAATTTTGAAATAATTGAATTTGTGATTAATTTCATTAAAATTATTAATAATAATTAATTTAGTGAAGAATTTTAGTTAAAAATTTGTTAAATAATTGAAATAAAGAAGATATGAAAAAGATCTGCATTTTATACTAATAAAATATATTTTATTTAAAATTTTTCTTTAAAAATGTAAAAGAAAAGTCGAAATAGTCGCATTTTATTAAAACAAGTCGAAAAAAGTCGTATAATCCAAGGCTTGAAATGACTGATTTTAAATTGGTTTTCCTGAAATAAGCCATTTTTTTAATTTTTTGAAATTAATTTTCATACCCAAGGATATAATATTTAATTATTATTATTAAACTGATTTTTTAAATAAAATATTTATTATTTAATATTGACAATTTATTTATGAAAAACAAGCATTTTTAATTAAAAGAAAAAAGAAGATTGATTATAATAGACAAGACAATAATTGGATATTTTACCCTATAATTTAAAAAAATATTTCTAGGTATTTATATACCATATATATTTTTTTGAAATAATTGAAAGAAAATCTCTTTCATTAGATACAAAAAATCAATCAAGTTTTTTTTATCTCTATAAAAAACATGTACAATTAATTAAAAGAAACAAAAAAAAAAACTCATTGATTTCTTTGAATTATCTGACAATGGTAATTGGTTAGATAAAAAAATATTACTTTTTTCATAACATTGTGAATAATTAGTAAGATTGTCTAATTTTAATTAATCATACATTATTCTGATAGGAATGGACAAAATATTACAGAAAAAAAAAGAACTGATAAATTTTTATCCAAATCATATTATATGTTTTACAATTCTCTTATTTCCCATCATTGACAAAGTAATTTAATATTAAGTATTATCTCTTATGTAATATTTAGTGACCTTTTTGTGTCTGATATGATCTTCAAAAAATAAATGACTAATTATATTAAAATTGTTGCGGAAAAATTATTAACAAAAGCAAGCATAATGAAAAAAAAATACATAACAATAAGTTTTCTATTTTTTTTTTTTTGGAAAATAATAGTTTCGTTTATATTGAAACAGCAAGTTATGAAACATTATAAATGCTATGAGCGTTTAAATTAGTCCGTTATTTCCATCCACGTTCTCGTGAAACGTGTAACCTTTAACCTATATAATAATAAAAATTACATCTCAGAAAATTTTTTTTTCTCATATACATACATTAATATATTCTCAAGAGTTTTTGATTATGAAATTTTGTAAAATGAAAGAAATATCTTATTGTTAATTATTAATAGAATCCGTAGAAAAAATAAAACTGAGCATTATTAATTGATATTCATTTATTTTGTTCAATGTTAAATATTGAATATTGTTTAGAAAATCAAAGTTTAAGTAGATTTGATTTTTATTATTAAAAATGAGATTTTGAAAATTAATAATCATAAATATGATTCATATAAATAATAATTACGAAAGAACTGAATTAAAAACGAATTGAATATTGACGCAATAATTTATTTATAGACATATATCTTCTATTATATTAAGTTAACAAATTTCCAAAAGCGACACCAATACCGTGACCTAGCCACCGACCTTGGAAAATCTATTTTCACTTATTTTCAAATAAATCAAAATCCTTTGCCATATTCTTTTAGAAAATCTTACAAACTTTTTTTTGTAACATGTTTTTTCAATTTTAATCCGAAAAAAGGGTTATTTTGCAATTTTTTTTACGAATTTTTGGATATATACCTATAAAATTACTCTGTTTTTAAAAAGTTATTCAAAAACAATTTTTTTCAATTTTTCACCAATTTTTTATGTTTTTTTTTTTATTATTTATTGTTAATTTTCAAATTTTTGGTTGAATAAAAACAAAAAATTAATTCTATATTTTTTACTTATTTTTAGTACCTAATTCTTATTTACAATTATGTACAGTTATAATATGTATTAACTTATTCCTCGCATCCATTCTGCAATTTTTGTAAGTTGTTTTATTTCTTATTAATTTTTAAATTAAAATTTTATAATTTAGTTTTCTATAAATGAAATTCATGTCTGCCATATAAAATCCGACATTTAGAATTTTTGAAAACTAAGGAGTTTTAAAATTTAATTTTGTTAATAGATCTATCTTATAGTCTAAACATATAAAACGTGTTATATATAACATTTAGAAGTATTCTGAAGCGATTAGCTATGAAAAATTTTTATAAACTGAACAAAATTTTGAAAACCGTTTTTTTAAATGTAATATAATTTTTGTTTATTAAGAGTAGAACGGGAAAAAGGCCAAGGGGAAAAAAGCCATTTTGGTTTAACATTAAAACTATAATATAATATAATATATATTATTTTTATTTAAAAATACGACAATTTTGACTAACATATTTGTTTTTTTTTCCGTAGAATTTCATGAGCCAAAGGTTTTGAACGTTCATATGAACGAAATTTGTTTTTCTACTTCTTTAAATACGAATTTTATTACAAAATATTGTTTAAAATATCTAAAAAGAAGTTATTAATTTAATAATTGTTTAATTTACTGTTTTATTTTACATAGTCATCACGGTTTTCCTAAAAGTATCAAATTGAGACCAAAAATTGCATCAAATCTTTGCAATGTTTTGATGCACATAAGTTATATCAAAAAGAGATCGTTTTGTGTATCATTTTTAGAAATGATACACGAAACAGTCTCATATTTTTTGATGCAAAAAATTTAATCAATTTATATCAATCATGGCCGAATTGAATCGACTCAAAATTAAACGAATTTTTTTCAGATATTTTGGTAATAGTACAATTGCGTAGACCATTTCACTATTTAATTTAAAAATGAAAATAACAGAAAATCAAAGACAATGTGCAATTCGATAATTAAAAAGTGACAGCTTATAAACATAACCTAAAATGCATGAG